ACCATTAAAGTCAGTGTAATCATAAAACTGCTAAGCAGGAAGAGGAAGAACTATGAACAACTTCACAGATGAAAGCCAATAACATGAACTTGAGAAGGCAGAAAGTAGAAGTGTTCAGAATGTCTGGCAAAATTGACAGTTTTAGCAACTACAGTTTGAATGGTTTGAAGGGAACAGTTGTCAGAGATGGCAGGGATAAATGAGGATTTATTGCACTGTACAGATTTTTTTTTCAAAGTAAAGATTTTCTAACTTCACAGATCTGCTGCTCAGCATGCATTAGTTACTGTTGTGTCAAGAGCAAACCCTGAAGGGAGCTACTAGCCTTTTCAGAACCCACGCATCCCTCTGCTTCAGAAAACGCTGACAGTAAGTTGGTGGGGGGAATTTTTTTAAGGTTACTGCTTAGCTCTAGACCCTCCTTCCATTCAGAAACATGAAGCTGTTGCCAGAATTACAGAGCTGCTGCACAACTGTAACGAGTTAGCCACAATGCAGAGCTTCAGCTGCTGGAAGTATCACTGCCACAGTGTAAATTCCAAGGGACAGAGTAAATAAAAGGTATTGAATACCCATTTACTGATATCTTAGTATGTACTTTTCTAGCTATAGATAATAATCTGCTCTCTTCCAGAGCATAAAACATATTTTGAATAACAATGTGTTCTGCTGTGAACATTCTTAAATAATAAGTTCATGAATCACTACACAGTCTACTGCACTGCCTTGCAGACATCTAGGCAATAGGAGGTTTGCAGCCTAACACCCACCCTCCACTGCAGCAGCACTGCCAACGTTGGGGTGTGTGTCCAAGCCACAAGAAGAAAATACAGAATAGCCAAGCTGCTTTGTGCTGGAACAATTAAAGCTAAATTTACAGTTGCTAAATGGTAAAGATAGTGTTGGAGGGAACAAGGTGTAAAATAACTGCTATAAAAAGCAGATTTTTCAGCAATGTATTTTTCTCTACTACCTGAATAGTTGAGATAGATTGTTGCTAAACCCTTCGTACCCAGGAAGCTACTGGGGAGTGCATAAAAGGGAATGCTGAAGGTATGAAATTCTGAAAGCAATGAGAAAATTGTAATGTAAGTAATAGTATGACAACATGTGGTTATACAATAAGAAATATTTTGAAAGAACTAGTGATTTATGGGGAAGTTTTCTGTGCATTACTACGAAAGCCACACCAACAAACCTGTACTGCAGCAGCAGTGCATAGGGTGGCTAGGCTGAATATATATAAGGGGGCTATGGATAGATTCGGTCACAATTTACCTTCACAATATTCCTCAGTGGCATAGTCCCATGGGAGAACCGATGAACAAATATTGTTTCAATCAACCTTTTCATGTAGTGGAAAGAATGGCAGATACATGCCAAGCTAAAAACAGCAAGACAAAAGCATTTAAGAATGCTTACAGAAACAAGTGTGGCAAGACATTTGGAATAAAACAGCATCACTAACAAGAAATACTGCTCAAGGCCTGCAGATGGACTTACTTAACTACTGCATGTGGGCTTGATGTAAACCTCTCATCCAGGCCATAGACAAAAGGCATGCGGAAATAAAACAGAAAATAGATGAACAATGGACCTGTATATTCTATCAAAAATACCTGCAAAAAGAGAGAGAATAATTAGACAGCTGAATCAGATGGTACTTGTGCTTTGGTTTCTTCATAATAGGTAATGCAGTGGGATAAACACCTCCACTGACCCACTAGAGAGGCACTTAGAGAGGCAAGGGGAGAGTAGCAGGTTTGGGAACAGGACATGAAACTTGTAGACATGCATTTAAATCATTTGCAATGCATTTGCAAATTGCACAAAACTACAGCCATAGTCAGTGCAGCTGACACAATATGGGTAAGAACATGTTATCGTGGCAACCCAAAGCTCATGATAAATGTACATGCATGTTACATTTACACAACTGCCCTGCTCATGCCCTCAAAAAGAAACTTGATGAGGAATTTGTCTTGAAAAAAGAGGGATTTTTTTTCAAATGAATGAATTTTGTTTAAATGGGAAAAATGTTTTGTGTATGACATATGACATGATTTGTATGAACAGTTAACATAGCACATACACACATGATAACATGTATATGCTGTGCATTTATACAGAGCTGGAATCATTTTATCACAGGAAACAGCCAAGTCATTCTGTATTCAAATAATCTCTTGTTTAAAAAAGAACAAGAAAGAAAGTAAATCAAAATAAGCTACTATCTAGCTTAATTTTATTTCAAATGAATTTCTTAGGAATATCACTTTAAATTGAGGTTGACTTTGAACCAAGGTTTAATAATTTCACTTTCTTCTTCTATAACTGTGTAAGGTAGGTCAATACCTCAGTTATGTAGAAAAAAGGGAAGTTTTGTGCATTTCTGTCAAAGAAAAAGTTTCACTGATCTCTAATGTGTTTAGAGCTACTTTCACACTCAGAACAGTTGTATTATCATCCATTTTTGTAATAGAACCTGCATTTTTTCTGGCAAAGGTATGATTTGATTGTAGATGAGAAGTTTGTCTTTTTATTTCATAAAACTGAAGTATTTCTTAGCTTACACGAAGTAGCTTAAAGGACAGGGAGAGCAGAGTGTAAATGAAGAATAATGAAATGGTCCAGGTTGACTGGTGGTACTCTGTGATATTTTGGTGTATGTTAATGCATGTGCACCTCGAATCTGCATTGTCTGCATAATTATTTCCTCGTTTTAAGATTGTGATTTAGCAGCTGCCTGTTTTATCAGCAGAATATCCAAAGTAATGATCAGGGATTTAGTCTAATAGAACAATATTTTTTTATTTTACCTTTTATCAGTATTGCTTTTGCTATTTGTCATTAACACAGAAGATATTATTTAATGTTGCATAGCCAGAAATTGCTACATGTGCCTTTAATTTAGTGGATGCCTTTTGCTTTGTGCTGTGCTGTTTAATTGGGACTAGCAGATAGCATGTGCGTTGTGGAGACTCAGAAGACCTTGCAAGGTCACCTCTGTGCATAAACAGCAGTGCTGTTTCACCTGCTGAGTGAGCTCTGATGGAGTGAGTCTGTGAATTGGGGGACTAAATGTGTGCAGCCTTCTTGGACGACTGCTAATACTGCAGAAATGATCAGCTGTCAGAAGCCTGCCATTAGCATCCTGGGGCAGAGCCACACACAGACAGCTGATTTAACTTCCATGCATTTTCCTCTTAAAGTTAGTTGAATTGCAGAAATGGAAAACCTCACATGCCTCTGCAGGAAAACTCATGTGAGTACAATCCTGATCTTTGAGAGGAGAAGTTATATAAATCCTCTGAACCAGATCCTCAAGGACAGTTAGACACCTAGTTGCCAATGGTTCTGCATTAGACATCTCAATCTGTGAGAGACGCGGCAGCTTAGTTCAGTAGAGCCAGGCTACCCTGCAGCAAATTCACTGCTGCTCTCCAGGGGACTAGGCATTCAAAATATTCTGCTACTGGTTTCTCTGGTTAAATGAACTGAAGTGATGAGGATTCATTGCCTGCATCCACTTTTAGAGCAGTCATCATGCAGAAATATTGGAGAGGGACAGAACGTGATGTATTGATTAATAATGGAGAAATACCCCTTAAAATGCCTTGGACTTGTATCATAGCTCACCGTAGTCCATCCTATCTGTGGCCCTAAATCTTTAAAATATAAGGTAGCAGTTGTGCCAACAGGGAGGTGCTGCAGGATTTCCTCATCTCTCAGGGACTTTCCTTCTAAGAAGGAAAGAAGTAGTTACATCTCAGTGAAATTAAAGTCAACTTCGGTAGCATCTTAGCCTTATATTGTGCTTTAACCAATCTGTGAGACTCTTTGACCTGACACAGGTTCATTGGAATCTCAATAATGAACTAAAAATGCTTGTATTTAACTTTGATTTATCTTAGTAATCACATATAAGTCTTCTTACTCACATCTAAACAGTGAGGAGAATTCTCAATCCTATCTGCCAGCCCAGCCTGCTAGACTCGCTTCTTCATGGATACAGCAAAAGTTGCTGATGGGCAACTGCCATGCAGTGCACTTCACAGCTGAACCTCCTTCTCTGCTCGCTTCTCCTTGCTTATCACCAGACACACCAAAGATGGCATAAGCTGAGATTGGAAGACCTTCTTAAAGAGCTTTTTATTTCCTCATTTCTTTCTAAGCAACTAAGTATGGGGTTATTCCACAGGACTTTGGCCTGCTCCTGGGGAAAGGAGGTAAGACAGAGACGAGACTCTTTATCTCCCTGCTTTGTAACATCTTGTATATTCTGGGTATTGTCAGACGCTTTCTTTAAGTTGAACTTCCCATGTTAGGAATTTGATCTACAAGATGCATACCAGCTTTAAGCTGCTTGAGGTGGTGTTCAAACTTTAAACTCTAGAATTTTGGGGAATTGTCAGGAGGCCAGCATTTTTTATAGCAAGTCTCACAACACAAATCCTTTGAGGGTGTCTGACAAAGTAGATATTTGTGGAAGGAAATAGGATACTCATGCTCCTATTTTCCATGTACAGGTTCTACACAATGAATTAATTTCAATTAGCACAATTTTATGGGAATATATAAATTATGTTAAGTAGAAGCAAAAACAAATACAATGCTATACTTCATACTGAATGTTAACATGTTAAGACTCTTTTGCAATTTGACTTTTTTTTTGTGCACCAAGTCAGTGTACTAAGAGACTTCTGTTAGCAATACCTATATCCAAATTAATCAAGTTAGCCAGCTGGCACCAGCTATGTCAGCAAATCCTATATCCATGGTAATGTATTTAGCATCAGCTTACTCCAGAAGAACTGTAATTCCTGCCTGAGAGCAGAGGATTATGTGAACTGACAGCTATAACTCATAGCCCATCTTAGTACTCCCAGCTAAGCATCACTGTGGGCATCATTTCAGTGCAGCTGGGGAAAAATTGGACCTAAATTTTGAGCTGCTTGACTTCGAAGCAGAGATGCTCAGTAGTTGCCAAGTGCATTAGAACAATGTCCAAGCCCCTGAGTTAATTGCCAAGCACCAGATACCTTGGGGGAACTCGGTCCAATACTTTCAAAGAATTAAATTTGTTCTGGATTTTCTTCGGTCTTCACAGGGCTAATCAGCATAGCTGGAAACTTATTCTTAAACCCTAATACCTGTGCAAAGTGCACTTTTTATGCCAGCCCACTGCCCACAGCTAGTCTTCCTGAGTACTTACTTGGATCCAGCCTTATCGACTGCCTTGCCGGATACCACTGAGGATCTGCAAGACCATATAGAATTGTGTGATTTACGATACTTGTTTTTAGATTTAACTATTATAATGAATGCAACACAATAAGAAAATAATTTATTTGAAAATTTTTAAGATTATTTATATTATGATGGAATGTGAGAAATTGTCAGAAACTGTCAGAAATTACACAGCAGGAAAAAGAAAAGAAGTATGATAAAAACGATTTTGAAACAAACATTCCAAACTGGAATTGCATCTTACTTATATATTCAGTATTCTGTTATGATGTTAACTGTTATACTCACATGATTTATGAATCATCAATCTGATTTCCCTGATTGTCGCATTTGATTCAACCTAGGCAACAAAGAATATCATACGTATCAGATACATTTTGAAAGATGACCATTCAGACTTCAAGTAGAAAGGTGAATTTGACAACCTTCTTGTACCTATCTAGCGTTGGTATGGATGTTTCAGAGTACTTCTTAAAGGAAAAAGGGAGGATTTAGTTTGTGGCTCTTGTTTTAGAAACAGCTACCGTAGCAGTGATCAAGGGTTAGCACAACAGCAATGATGGCTTGTGAGTGAATACAGCAAAGCTGTCTCTGCCTTAGTGAAGCAGCTCAAGTTGAGCTTTTTGCCCAAGAGTGCTTTCTGAAAAAGGGTTGTACTCTGCAGGCAGTGTAAAGAAGTGTGTGTGGTTGCTGCCTCTGCAGAGGCCAAAGAAAGGCTTTCATTCAGGAGATGAAATAACTTTTTGCAAACACAAAATGTACTTAGTCACCTACCATTTTAAACATATTTTTGTTTTACCTTATCTAGGAAGCATAGCTGTTTCTTTGTCTTCCAGTCAAGGATTTCTACCTGAGAAGATACAAAACAATAATTATTAAGCAGAATTGGCTAAATCATTGCATAGATACATGTACATATGTGTGTGCGTGTATATGTGTATTATAAAATATATATATGCTGGGGTGGCCCTTAACGTTAGGGGGAAAGAAGGAAACAAGGATGGACAGTTTTCACAGGTGTCACTAAGGAAGAGATTGACCTTCAGAATTTTTGAAAGGCAATTTGACAAGGAATAATAATATATATGCGTGTATATGTGTGTATGTATGTAAGCAAATATTGAGTATATACATCTTGAAGATTCATGTGCATTGTTTCCAGAACATGATAATTGTGGAGAGAAAATATAGGCAGGTATATTGAACAAAGCGACTAAAGATCAAAAATCCTATAGAAGTTTTAACAGGAATATTCAGAGATGCTCTTGCCTCTTCAGATCACCTACATATTATCATTCTTAATGCTTACCAGTAGTGTCATTACAGCCCGGAAAAGGAAAGAGTAGGAGTATTTCAGTGATCCTATTAGATTTTGACAAAAACACTAAAATTTTAGTCAACAGCCAAGCCAATGTGGATTTGTTGCATAGCTAAAAGTTCAAACTTTATCTGTCACACCAAGTGATTGTGACTATCATTATTCAGTACCAAACTGTTTGCTGGGTTTTTTAAATGAATGCCTAGCATGTTTGGAATTAACTGACCAAGGGAAGAGATTAACATTAAATATGATTCCTAACTAAAAATAGAAGTCATAGTCCAGTATCTTTTTAATAGGGTTGCTTTGAAGAGATCACTTGGTTAGAGTATCTTATTTCCTTCTTGTACTTATCCTAAGTTGTCATTCTCTTGTTGGTGCAGCAATAGAGCACTTCTGACAGAAGTGTCAGCTCCAGTCTTCTCCACAACGGATACTAATGCAGTGAAATGCTCTGCCTGTGCATTGTAAGATATAGGAGGGGTTCAGGCAGGTAGGCACTTTCCCTTCTTCATGATGCATAATGAAGATGTGACTGGTAATTGGGATATTACTTTTTTTTTCTTCTCTCCATTCTGAAGGAAAATACCTGGAATACTCCTTCATTCTGAAGGGTTATGAAATACCAGGAATTTCAAGTTCTACTGTCTCTGTGCATGGAAATCTGCTGTGAGGAACAAATGAAAGGGATTTCCTTCCTAAGAGAGTGTTCTAAGACTATAGCATTCCATCTTTTGCAGTCCACAAAACTGGTGCTTTGGAAGCTCTAAACCACTTTTCATCCCTTCTGATGCTGAGTTGCTGCAGTGAACCCTTTGGTATATGTCAAATTTTTGTGTTAGTGAATACCACAGGGTTACCCAATAGACTACAACAGCACCCACAGCCTTAGCAGTCTCCTTCCCACATGCACAAATTAGACCAGACTTCTCCAGGTGGAGATTTAGTCTATCACTTTCAGTGTCTGTACCAGAGATCCTCTCCAAACCAACTTTGAAGTGTTTTAAATTGTCTTTCTGCCACCTACTATCTTTTAATTGAGCTATTTTCATTATGCACAGACTGAAGATTATAGAGCATTTTCTTTTTTTCTGTGGTCTTCCATGGGGTAAATGTATGCAAATGTAGAAGTGCCTCTCTCAACTTTTGAAAACAGAGCAAAAACAAAAATCAGCCAAGACCTGCTACACTGCTATTTGGTTCCACTCCAGGGTGTCTCTCTGAAGTGCCAGACTGGTATAACTACCTATACTGACCTACTTCAACAGCCTAATAGGAGCATATAGAGAAGACGATCCAGGCTCTTCTCGGAGGTACACAGTGATACAGCAAAAAGCAACAGACCCCATTTGCAATATTTTAAGTGGATAGAAGGGACTTTTTTCACCATGAGGATGTCTGAACATAAAAACAGGTTACCTAGAGAGGATGTGGCATATCCATCCTTGGAGATGTTTAAAACTGGACCCAGACCCAATGTGCTCCAATCTGGTTACACCTGCTTTGAGCAGGAAGCTGGACTACATGCCTTACAGAGGTCCCTTTCAGACTGAATTATTTAATATTTCAATTTTTTTTGGACATCTGAATTTCCTGAACTTAAGACATTTCAGTTATTTTCAGTTACTTTCCTTTTTCAGGAAGAGGGACAAAGGAATATGGCTTTAGATTCTGCTCCGTTGCATGGAAAGCTGTGAAAGGACAGAGTGAAAACAAGGTAAATGTTTCTTCTAATTTTCATGTTTCTTAGCTACGACAGAACATCCCCAAAGAGTTCAGATATTCCCTGCAACAGAGAAGGGGCAGAAAAGCCTGATCCAGGTTAAGAAATATTATCTTTTCTGAACATAATGGCAAGCCCCATGCACTCACATAGCACCAAATGGTGTTTCCAGTCTTCACAGCTCAGCACCAAGTCGGTTAATGTATTGCTTGGCAGTAGTTTTTAGATACCCAGCATTCTGTTCTTGGAACATTCACTCATGGGTATCATCGCTTTCAAACATGAATTGTTTGGCTCAGAGAATTTTAATCTCCATGTGTTTTCAAAGCATTTAGCACAATAGGGTACTGACAGTTGGCTTGCATTAGCGCAGTATGACTTTACAGTCCACTTATTTGGTGAATTTTTAAAGGCCTTTTAAATTACAGCTTCTCTATGACTCTTTTTTGTAGACCTCAATCGATGTTTAGATTCGTGCAAGATACCTATAAATTAAAAATCTTTTGGAAATTACCGTCAATATACGGTACCGTCAATAAACCGTCAAAGTTTATAAGATAAATTTGTTCTACCCTTCAAAGTTTATAAGATAAATTTGTTCTAGTACATAAGCAAAAAAGACTGAAATTGTCTTTAAAAAAGAGGAAAAGATTTGATTTTATTTGTCTAGAATGGGTAAAATACAAAGAAAAATCTATAGCATATGCAGAGAAAAGTACATTCTACTATTCATAGAATCATGAAATCACTATATTTGGAAAAGACCTTCAAGATTGTCTGGTCCAACCATATCAAACTGTTATTCATAGCAGAAGTAGTTTATCAGTGGGGAAAAACGGTTGAGTGGACACAGTGTTTAAAAACAAATCTGAAGATACAATTTCCCTTCAACAGGATTACAAAAAAATAGTTAATCTATTGCCTCCCCCTCTTTAGAGCCATGTAAAATGCTGAAGTGTCAACACAGGTTTAAGACCAATGTGACAATCATTACAGAAGTACTGACACACTTATCACATCTGTGCATCTTGGAAGTTTTATTTGCAACTATTTGTACTCAGGAAAGTAAACTATCTTGGTGAGATTTTGTGAGCACTGACATAAGCATATATTGTATTGATTTCTTTTTAAATTACTCAGTAAAAAAAATGCTTATTTTACAGTCTGGGAATCAACCAGACCAAAATAAGGGAAATGCAGAATAAATTAATTCTTTAACTTTTAGTGTGCTTATATGTCTGGTTTCTTTAATTTGATCACCAAAAAAATAAGTCTTATGTTTGCCACAGTTTAATCATTCTAAACATCTTCCCTTTTCTATGGAATCAGTCATTTCCTTAGACTTCTCTTGGACTTCTTTGGTGGTTATCTCTGAAGAAAACAAGCATGCCTTGATAAAGGCATCTAGGGAAAATCAAGAATAACCTTCTAGAAGTAAACGGAGTTAAGCCAAAGGGAAATGGCTGTAAGTGTAGTTATACTCAAAACTATGTTTATGCTGCTGGTGCTGCAATGGACTTTTCATCTGCAACATTGCAATGTGAGAAAAGTCGCAGGGGCTAGGCTAAGGATGTACCTGGTGTTGCTTTTTTCTGATATATCCAACAACAGATGCCTCAAAATAATAACAGGACAAGAAAATAGAAAGGGGGAAGAAGGGGCAGATGGACACGCAGAGAATAGAGATCACGATTCTCCCGCACCAGAAGTGCTACCTTTGTTTTTAAAGCTTTTAATGGATTTTTAATTGGTTCATTCACTTGCTTTTTAAACTTGTGTAGACTTTTAGCATCCACTTTATCCTGAGACAAGGAGTTCCATAGCTAAACTACTACTTAAAACAGAACAAAGTCAAATGTTTAGCCACAAAGCCAGATTCCATCCTCTTACCTTTGCAGCGCAGTACATTATCCTGTAAGAGTCAAACTAAGTAAAACTCTTCCTCTCCAAAGCCATTGGTTTATGTTTCATGAGGCCAGAATCCCACTGCATTATTTAACTTTGTATAAAGGGAGGAGATACTGACATGCAGACTCAAGGGTTAGATTTCACTTCTGTAGTATGTCTAACGTTAACAGGTTTACAAACACACTAGATACTTATTCCTCAGTTTCCTAATTCCTGCTCCTCAGTTTTCCAAAATTCTTAACACATTTTTACTTCTTCCACCTGTTTTAGATTTTCTAGCTAGGCATACTTGCATCTAAAAGCTTAAGGGCCTTAATCCAGTCATCACCTTACAAGAGTGTATTCCAGTTTAAAGCATAGTACCTTACCAACAAGAAATCCTGAATTTCCACTTGTGGGCTGTTTCAAGAACTGCTCCCTTCCATTGTCTTTCTGTTCAGCTTTTCCCTGCAGTCAATCCTTTTTGGGATAGTGAAGAGGAAGAGGCAGAATTGAGTAAACTCAGGTGACTTAGCTAGACTGCCATTTCTACTCTGGGAGCTGGGCGCCTAACCTGAAGGCAATGGCAAAGCCAACTCCCTCTGTGGGCCTGGATCTGAGTGCAGTTACAGAAAGGTATAGAGCTGTGAACGTGCATCCTTTAGAAAGACGAATCCATTTATATGGATTAATGGGATTAATACATGAATTAATAATCCATATTAATGATTCTGTGCATAAATGATCATAATGGAAATGAAAAATTCTGCTTCCTGCGGAGTGAGAGATTGTTCTTTTTTTCCCTACTCAATACTACCTGGACATCCAGGGTTTTCAATAGCATTCCATAGTCTTTTCCACACACAACATAGAATACTTGTTGCTTCCGGCCTCTGGTTAATGGTGATGATTTTCTGCAATAACTACATTCAGGCAGGGGAGGTTTAAAAATTCTCCCTGAAATCACAATTGTTTTGTTGCATCAGCACTGTGATTTGCAACGTTGAGCTCCAATATCTGTAATCGTTCCATTACTACCCTTTGTGAATCACTGTGTGTCTGGATGTCAGTACACATCCAGTGTATGCTCTAGGCATAGAACTGAAGAGACTGGAGAGAGAAATTGTTCTCTTTTGCCTAAGTATCAAGGGGTCTCCTGCCTATTGTCACGTAGGAGGACTGGAAGCCCTGGGGAGTCTTGAGCCTTTAAACTGAGGGCTGAGCATAGAAAATTTATATTCATTTCTTAAAACATACTTCAAAAAATCCATTATTTTCTTTAAAATGAGACTTCAAACCCTGAGTAGCTTTAGGTACTCACTGCCAAGTAATGTTTCACCATCACATTCTCCTATATAAAATTAAAAGCTTTTCTTCCACTCTGTAGGAAAAAAAGGATAAATTGCCTATCATTTAGATGAAGCAGTGCAACTGACTGTACAAAATGTTGCTAAGTGTACAGAAAATGGGCAAGAGATGAGAAAGAGAGAATTTCCCCTTGCCCCTCCATATCCTAATCTTTTTCCTGTTCTAATATTCTTGCTGTTCCCTATAGCAGCAGAGCAGACATTTTTGAAAGAGCAGGGTAATCTTCAAACAAGCAGTGTCTTGTGAGTTACCGCTCAGGTGGGTGTCTCGAGTAGGGCCTTGTCTTGCCCGGGGCAGCTCCTGGAGCACACAGACCCCTTGAACGCCCCATGGGCCGGCAGTCCTGCTCCTGGCACTTGCTCACAGGCCTCTTGCTCCATCAGGCTCCAAGCAGCATAGCTTTAAGCGGGAGAAACCTTTGTAACAGTAGCTGTGACATCTCAGCAATGCCAGCTAGGCAGCAGTTGCCCTCCGTTTGCATTCAGAGGGATTTCATCACAGTCAGAAACTTCGAATGCCAGCAACGGGGGAGGACATTATTGCTTTTAGGCTTTAATGCCTATGTCAGCTCAATATATCTTCAGGGAGTGATGATTCCAAAACATCATTGGCTACCACTGCTCACAAAAGCCATTTCCCATCCAAAACAGATAAGAAAGCAAAATTACAGCTATACTTCTTATGACACTTATTTTTACAGTATGAGTGAATTTGCTCAAGTATCTTTCCTATGGGAAGACAGAGAACCATACTATTTTCTTTGTATTAAATGCTTTTGAAGACCTGCACTTGTCAAGTAGAAAGAAAGGGTAGAATTCATTAGCCTAACTTCAGAGCTTTCTACCACACACATTTACATCTTAGCAGGTCACATAAATGGCATTTTTAGGAAAAAAATGAGAAAAAGAGGCAATTTTTGAACAAGGTGTATAATTAGTTATGAAACTGGAGAGTTGGCCTCCAATCAATTTAGAGAAATAAACATTATTAAAGGATATTAATTATATATATTTATATCTCTATGACTTAGATTTCTAAATTTTGGGAAATGAATCTCCTCAAATTGTCAATTGCAGTGTATGTGCAGACTGTGTACATATTTCTTTAAACTGTAGCTGTTCTTACTAATGTATCCTGAGATATTAGTGATAATATCAGCTTTGAGGTGTTTTTAGAAACAAACCAATACCTGAAGTAAACAAAACCAATCCCAGCATTATTATGGAATAAGAAACCTTTGGGCCACTACTAAGATATAGGTCTCAGAGTCCAGGGACCTGACTTTGAGTATCAGTTCTAATACAGACATTTCATAATAACTATGGGCAAATCATTCAGCCACTTTGTTGTTTTTGCAGTAGATTCACTACTGCATACTACTATGACATAGCTCATACCTTTGCTTAATCAGGTTGTTGCTCATAGTTCTCAGTACTAAGTTTGAACAGAGTCAGTTCAGAATAAGGACTTATATGTACATCTAAAGCTGCCTCTGCCTTTCAGTGGCCTCCTAAAAGTCATTTTAATACTGTGATGCCTGTTTATGAACTGTGTCTGTCTTTCTGTGCAATGGGAAAGACACTTGAAAAAGAAGGAATAGCTGGTGTCTGAGCACTGACAGTCAGTCTGACATTCTTCCCCATCTTTTTGTAGGTCTGTTCACTGGCGAGTCATTTTCATGGTTAAGGAAAAGGTCCTTCCTACGTACCTAGGGACCTATGAAACTGGTTATGTACTAAGCACGATCAAATGCACAGGCAAAACAGGAAGACATATTTTACCAGTAAATCTCTACTTAACTGGTAACAGTCATCTTATAAAAAATTCATTGTCAGTTTAGTGTTCATTAAGTGCCTTGTGATTCTTATAAGGAAGCACTACAAAAAAGCAATAAAGAGTAAATGGTTTAGAAAGAGAATAGTATCCATACAGCATTTCAATGCAGAGAATACTAACGTTTGTAACATCAGTGGATTTTTTTTTCCACTTAGTAAGCTTTAGGAGAGACAAGGCACCTTCTCTCTATTGCTAGTTTGGTTTTGAATGCATGGTGAGGAGAATTGTAATTCAATATCCTAAGCTCTCTTGGATTTATAATAGAAAGCAAATCAGTAGGAAGAGCAGTACAGAAAGTGATACGCAACACCACTGTTCAGAGCTACTGAGGACATCATTGTCCACGTCTAGGTGGTATGGCCACCTAGATCATCAGCGGGGGCCATACAGAGTCCCCTCGCTGATGATTTAGGTAAATCTGCTCCCGCTTGTTGTACAGAGAAAAACATTGAAGACATGCAAGGCTGACGTGTAAATTCATGAGGCATTCTGTATTTGCAGTAATGTTGCCTGGACACTTGATTTAGGTCTCAGAAGACCTGGATCTGCTGCTACTGTTCTGCCTAGAGAGGTGGTGCAAGTCACATCACTGCCCTGTGTGCACAAGCAAGTAACAGTAATGATGCCCAGGCTTTGAGGTCTCCCACGAGCAAGTGTAGATGCTGTTCAGTGAACAAGTCCACAGACCAGGCATTGACTGGCGAAATCCAGACATTACATGTATGCCTGGTCCTGAGTTTCAGTCTCACAGAACTTTGGGACAGTGATAAAAATGCATCTGGGGGCTGTGAAAAGCTTTGCCGTTTTTCTTTAAATTCCCCAGGGAAGTGTTTGTTGCAGAGGAGAGGTACCATGCAGGGACCCACCTCGCTCCCCTGCCGGCTAGAGACAGCTTATTTTGCTCAAGTATTAGCAATGTTCAAATGAACTTTTTTATCTTTGAAAGCAAAATCTCAACTTTTAGGTCACGGTAACAAGCTGCTGCTTTTCCAAATATTTTTGACTGTAAGCAAAGTTAGTGCTTTAAGAGCATCTGGTTTGTATTTCACATGGGGAAGAATGTATTCCTTTTTAAGCAAGTCTTGTGCTGGAGAAGCTGAAGTAAACCTGTAGAAACAGAGTCAGTAGAATCAGCGTTGCTGCCACTTCGCAAGTGCAGGTCAGAAGAATTTTTGTATTAGCCAGTCTGTTCTGTGAAAGAGAGTTAGTCTGGCTGTTTGCAGAGTTGATGAGATCTGTTATCCTTCCTATCCGTTAGGTGTACGTTATTCAGCACCTCCTGTACACACGAGGCGCTGACCTCGCCACTTTCCGGATCGCTTTTATTGCGCCCCGCGCGCAGCGGTCACAGAGGGCCGGGCGCAGCGCAGCCCGCGCGGATCCCGCCCGCCGCGCCCGCACCCAC